CGACGAGCTCGGCCGCGTTCAAGGACATCTAACTCCGAAAAAGACCCAGTGAGAATTTGTTAGTTCATAATGAAGCATGCTATTTGTTTAAAAAAAACGAAAAATCATACTCTGACAGCGACCTCAACAACTTCCTTCCCCTTTGGCTGTTGTAGGCATGGTGCCTTTTGACCAACTGGGCCCTACCTCAGTTGGTACATCCCCGAACTGTCGAAATATAGGGCATCGCCACACCACTCTCGAAATGTGCAAAATGAGAATGGACTTCCGCTAGGACATGGCCAGATGCACCCGCCACATTTTTGTCCTTTTCACATTTCGAGACTGGTGTGGCGAGGCCCATACAGACCTGAGTTCGAACCCCAGTGGAAGCAGATGGGTAAAATAAATTACTGCGAATCTGAATTAGCTAGGGCCGGTCAGCTCAAATGATAATCCATAATATTTCGAGGCCGTAGCCCTAGCGGGGGGGGGGGGGGGGAAGACATGGTACCCTTCTGTTTCTGTTTGAAGTTACCGACCGTGCAACAATTCCCAAGGCGCACATTTGGCCAAGATGAAACCCAATGGCAGGAGTTCAAATTCACGTCGTCATAATCATGAAAGCAACGGACAACCATTCAGGTGTTGTCCACAAACTGAAGACGACGTAAATGTCGAGGACAATAGACCTAAGAGAGGAGAAGAGGAGCAACAAGATGAGGAGAGGAACAGCAGAGAACTAAGAAAGAGGATGGCAGGGAGGAGAAGGGAACCTGAAGGTCCAAGAGGAACAGGAGGAACAGGAGGTCCAAGAGGAACAGGAGGAACAGGAGGAGGGGAGAGAACATAGCACGAGAAGGACAAGGAGGGTAAGGGTGAGGAGGAGGAAAGAATGGACGAGAAGGGGAAACTAGAGAGATCAGAGGAGGAAAGGGAGAAAAGAAAAGCTGGAATCAGGAAGTCCACAAGGAACAGGAGGAACAGGAGGGACGGAGAGTAGATACCACGAGAATGACAAGGAGGGTAAGGGCAAGGAGAAGGGAGGAGAGAATGGAGTAGAAGGGGAGACTGGAAAGATCAGAGGAGGAAAGGGAGTAGGTAGGAGACGGAGAAAAGAAAAGCGGACGATGACAAATGCAAGAAAGGAGGGGGCAAGATAGAAGATGAGGGCTGGGAGGATCACGGGGAGAAGCAGGGGAGAGTAACGAAGGGAAGTGGGCGAGAGATGTAGGGCAGAGGGAGAGAGGAAGAGGAGGAAGGTAGGGAGGTAGGGAAGAGGTCGGCAAGAGACGTAGGAGAGGTAGGAGAGGAAGATAACAGTGAGAAAGGACAAGCGCGACGGAAGGCAACGGACCAAAAGGACTTTGTTGCATAGCTGCAAAAGAGGAGAAATGAATGTCAAGGAAGACAAAGCAAATGCAAACCGGTTCCAACGATTGGGAATTAGGGTAAGAGAATAGCAATAGACTAGAGTGACCGCTAGGGATGGACACGTGGCACGACCAATTATAGGCAATACTGTAAAGCGGAAAGACGGCTGCCGATAACCAATGCGCAACAAGGTTTGGTTAATAAGACTATAATAATAACTCTCAATATAATTCAATTCATTAATTAATTAATTTATAATTAATGAAAATATAGGCTTCGGCTTTGCCATTGTCAGAGACCCGGACCTGACGGCCGACTACTGCGCCAACATAAGCAATGTGCACAGCGGCGATGCTCATCTGCTTCGTGGGCATGAGGTAGTTGGAAAACAAAAATGAACAAAGAAAATACCAAAAAATGCACCGCAAGAGAGAGAGAGAGAGAGAGAGAGGCCAATAGGATAGAGAGGAAGAGAGAGGAGCGACTAAGGGAGGAGGGTAAACAGGAATAGAAACCCAGGAAAAAATGTAAGCCCGTAGAGTGGGAGGGAGGAGTAGGCTCGGAAAGAGAAAAAGGAGAGAGAGGGAGAAGGAGAAAGACGCACAGAGAAAGGGGGAAAGAACGAGGGGGGGGAAGAAAAAGGAGAAAGCGGTATAGGGCGAAGACGGATAGGATCCAGGGGGTTATGAAAGCGGAAAAGAGGAAGAAAGGAAATGTGAGGTAGGGGGACAGAGGAAGCAGGGGGAAAGTGAGCAGAGAAAGAGTAACGAGGAGAAAGGAAGGGAGAGAGATGTGCAGGACGAAAACGGAGGAGAGAGACAAGGAGGGAAGACGGACTAAGGGAAGAGGAAAACGGGAGCGAGACAAGGAGATGGGGAGTGGTCAAGGGAAAGATTGAAAAATTACAAATAGTGAGGACTAATAGTGAGGATTCATAGTGAGGATTAACGAAGGACATGGTAAAGAGAGAAGAATGAGAAAGGTTAAACATACGATGATGGAGGAAATGGCGCCAGGGAGAAAATGGCGGGAGTAGAAATGCTGCCAGGGAGAAAATAGTGGGAACAGGATGCCGGCACTAGGATGGCCGCAGTAGAGCAACGAAAGACGCCTATGGCGGCAAGGATGGCAGCGGGTATGGCGGCAGGGATGGCGGCAGGGAGGTTATGGCGGCAGGTATGGCGGCAGGTATGGCGACAGGTATGGCGGGAGGGATGGAGGCGGGTATGGCTGCAGGGATGGCGGCAGGGAGGTTATGGCGGCAGGGATGGCGGCAGGGATGGCGGCAGGCATGGCGGCAGGGATGGCGGCAGGGATGGCGGCAGGGATGGCGGCAGGGATGGCGGCGGGTATGGCTGCAAGGAAGTCCTGGCCGGGCAGCAGGGAAGCCATGGCGGCGCGGCAGGGAAGCCATGGCGACACGCCAGGGAGGAATGGCGGTAACGAAGACATTCAGCAGGGGGGAGATAACGGCAGGGAGGAGATGGCAGCAGCGAGGAGGTGGCGGCGGCAAGGAGATGGCGGCTAAGGGAGGACATAACAGCGCGAGGAGATGGCGGCAGGGTCAAAATGGCGGGAGGAAGGAGATAGCAGCAAGGACGAAATGGCGGCAGGGAAGAGGGCGGCAAGGAGGAAATGGCAGCGGGGGAGGAATGCCGGCAGCAAGGAGATGGAAGCAGCGAGGAAATGGCGGAGGAACGAGATGGCGGCAGCAAAGAGATAGCGCCGGCCGCAGATAAGACGACACGGGGAGACAGATTTCGTCGAGTAAGACAGGGCAAAAGAGACCAGATGAAAGGGCGACAGAGGGACAGGAGAAGGAAAACAGCAATCAGGGAGAAAGGGCAGGGGATAGCAAGGGCAAAGAAAAATAGGTCAAAATGAAGAGAGAAAATGAAGGAGCGAGAAGGAAAGGGAGGAGAGAGCGAGACATGGAGGCCAGGAAGGCGGGAAGGAAAATGGCGATGTGAGGAGGGAGGAGCGAAAAAGAAGGGAAAAGAGAGGGGAAACGGGGCCAGTAAACGACAGAACAAGGTATCGAAGGTGGGGGGTGGGGAGGAGGGGGAGGATGACGGAACAGAGGAAGCGAACTAAGAGCGAAGGCACCGAGGAGAGAAGAGGAAACGAAACACAGAGTGCGGTAGGGAAGCACAGAGATAAGACCGAGCATCTAGACCATGGTTAAGATGGTTAACGTCGACGATGATAGTGCAGATGGAGAGGGGGATGATAATGATATTGAGAGAAGCGCTAAAAGAACAGAGATCGGGGGTACCAATCATATCGTCGCTCATGACTGCCATCTTCACCTGAATAGAACGCCCGGTCATTATAGCTGCATTTGGTGCAACTTGCAGTCTAGATGCAACGATAATGACCGGGCGTTCTATTCGGGTGAAGACGGTAGTCGTGGATGCGCGTTAGGAAGGCGTTAGCGATGGATTGGGGAGGCGGGGGGGAGAGGGAGAAGGCCTGCACATGGGCGGAGAGAGGTGCTCTGACTCTCCCAGAGGAACGAGGGCGTTGTTGGCCATTCATCGCTACACAACAAAGAGTAGACGAGTTGTAAACCAACTCTTCCCCCCAATCCCCCTTTCATCACTAGCTTTCCCCTCCGGTCTGCTGAAGAGCGAGAATGCTCAAAACCAGGATGACACACACACGAAAAGCCCGCCTAGGGTCGTTGATTGCCTTCCTTCGCTACGGTCTTTCCCCCCACACAACGCACCTTCATCATGACTTGTATCAGACCTGAAAAATAGCTTGTATTCATTCACGATCGGGATGCGGTGTAATCGAGAGAAGACGGCAGGAAGGGACGACAAACCATGAACAGTTCAGAAGGGAGCCGACCGACTAGGCGTCGAGGAGTAGGCGAACACGGAGAGGGCAGGAAGAGGAAGAGAGAGGAAGATGGGGTAAAGGAAAGAGAGGGAGAAAGAGGGGGACAGATGAGTGAGAGTAAGAAAGGAGAAAGAGGGAGGGGAGAAGCGAGAGAGAACGGCAGAGACTACGGTAGGAGAGGGAGGGGAGGAGAGCGCAGGCAGAAAGACGGATACACCGAAGACATGCCAGCCAGTTAAGGTATCACGCGCAAGAGATGATAGCAATCCGCTCGCCCGAAAACATAAATAAAGTTAATAAATAAATCAAATAAACGAATACTCGAAAAACAAATTCACGCGCACGAGAGTGTTCGTGCCGAGACGACCGTGTTAACACGTGTTAAACGAGCAATAGGAGGAGGAGGAGGACTACCTTCTTCCCCCGAATAGAACGTACCGTCATTATCCCTGAACCTAGATTGAAAGTTGCCCCAAATACAGCAATAATGACCGTACATTCTACTCGAGAGAAGACGGGGTAGCGATCCCGACATATCAGACACGGTAGGGGGCGGTGCGGGGTGGGCGAAGTAACATAACTCCATGTTAAACGCCGCGATATGATGATCCCAGAGTCGCGCGTGAAGATGGGCAGACAAATACAGAGCATCGAGGTCCAAAAAGCACTCACTTCGACGACAAACTGAAGAGAGAGAGAGAGAGAGAGAGAGAGAGAGAGAGAGAGAGAGAGAGAGAGAGAGAGAGAGAGAGAGGAAGGAGAAGTAGGAAACACAAGAACCAAAGCAAAGGAGGATCACATACCTTCGGAAGATGACTAAGTGCCAGAGCAGTTAAGAAGAAAAAGAAGACTGGAACCGGGACGAGATGGAGTTAAGCCTTCGACGAGCCAGAAGGGAATGACTGAAGAGAAGAGATGGCAGCGCAATCGCGGGCGAAGAGACGGCGGCGCAAACTGCCTCGCCCTCGTCGCATGGCGGAAACGCGACGAGGAGCGTCGAGGAGAGGAGACCCCGGTCGTCCTCGGCTTTCCCAGCTGCCGGATCTCTGCACCCGTGCGCCCCAATCGCAATGGGTCAAAAGGGGTAACAATCATAGCCCTTCTAGCCAAAAAGGGGGAAGCGACGGTAAAGGGCGTTATTAGCCAGGGTGCAATTAGGAGGGTAGCGTTGGGGGACAAAAAGGGGGGGTTAAACCAAAACCAACATACCTTCGGACTTCAAATAAATGAAATGAAATGGCCGAGCCTACCGGTGCCTGGCGGTTCAGAAAGCGAGCATCAAGGCCTGAAGAGGTAACAATCATAGCCGTTCTACTCGCAAAGGGGGAAGACACGGCGGACGGGGTGAATTGGCTAACCGCGGGGGCATGGGGAACTCAGCCCCAGGGCCACAAAATTTTCTCTCTTTTCTCCGTCAAAGAGAAAGCTATACGGTGGAGGTCGTGGGTTCAATCCCGGTTACGCCTAGGGAAGGCTCGAATGGTTGAGCCTAGACGGTCGTGAGACGAGTGCTCTCCCAACCGTGCGAGATGGTCTCCCATCACAGGGCTCTCCAACTCAAATTGCTTGTGCTTGGTGCCAACCTGATGAGACTAAGATAGTCAGTTTGATCCCCCTGGCCCGTGTTCACAGCCCGTCAGGGGTGCGTTTTATACCCCTGAGTTTGCATTATACCCCTCAGTCAATCTCGTCTACACCGGTCGTCCGTTCAGGTCCAAAGGGTAGTTGGAAGGGTGATGAATTTGTTGGGGGAGCAATTCATGGGGAACGGCCGTTGTTTCTTGGTAGCTGACCGTAGGAGGCCGAGGAGGCCGCCGTCCTTGAGTTGAACATTTCAAAATCGAAATGGCGTGGGTCCACTTTTCTCGAATAAAAGGGCACATCGAATACACTGCATATTGACTTACCGTGAGGGCACGGGTGCGCAGCCCGTAGGTCATTTGTTTATGTGGTTCGGGAAGGGTAAGGTAGTGAATCTGTTGTATGTATGTTTTGTCATGTTCGCTATACACGACTCGAAGAGAGTGTGTGTGTGGGGTCCCGGTTGATGCCTTATTCATGATGTTCACATGACGCTGGACCCAGTTTCCAGCAGGTGGCGCTCCCCATCAATAGACAAGAGAATGTATGTGCATGTGTATGTGAG